TTGGCACCTTTTTTATGATTTTACTTTTATTCTCTGACAGAAAAATTAAAACATTTCCTCCTTCATTTCTTATTTTGAAGTGTCCCTTTTGAGATTTCAGCAGTACTTTATGATCTACATTACCTTGATATAATGATTAAGTATTAGATTACTGTATGTTTTCATCTCTTGCCGTTACCTCTGACTGTTCAGGACGAGCTCTCAATCACTCTGCATCTGTGTGTTTCTACTCATAAAGTTCATCACACCATCCCCTCTGAGAGAGCCGCCAGTGATGAATCAATTTCAAGCTCTTTTTGAGAGCTTCCCGACACTCGGTGGGGTGCCAGTGTTGACCTTGTGTAATGAGGGAAGGTTTCCATATCTGCAAGTTATAAAAAAAAAAAAAAGTGAATAGCATGAGGAGATGGTGAATGGTGCACTGCTTGGGTAAATTTAATTTGGCATAAAAGAAAAAGGAAAGAGGAGAGAAATGATGAGCTGGTGTGTGGCAGTAGAGGGAAGATGAGAGAAGTAAGTGACATTGTTAGAGCACCACAAATTGAGACGCTTTCAGAGAATTGCACACATCAGTATGTTTTAATGCCGTTATCGTTTTTACTTTCCTGATATCAACGATTTGATTGCTTGCACCAGGCTTGTGAGCTGATACCGCCGTGTTTCTCCTTCCCGCGGCCTGACAGTCGATTTGTTTAGCTGCTGTAATCTAAAATGACTTGCATGCATGCATAGAGACTCGTACATCCATCCCTAATGACACCATTTAATGCTTTTTTTTTTTTTTTAATTTTATTCCCTTTGGAGGAGTGCTGTGTACCTGTGGCCACGGATTCCTGAAAAGGATCCAATTTGATTCAATCACACTCTGTCCTGGTGTTCCTGTTGTTTGGTGGGTGTCTCTGCCAATGATGGATTCAGTTATTTCCATTCGCGGGATGCATTGTAAACGGTGACGAATGGTGCAGGCTAATGCATCATGTGTTGTCAAGGAGAATCATTTACCTTGCCTTCACAATCCATTAAGCCGATGAGAAGAAGAAAAGTTGGATGTGCAGCTGTGGTTTCTCTCTGACACTGACAGAAGATGGACTGAATGGGATCTGTGGATTCTGCGCGTGCCATTGTGAACATTAAGTTCAGTGTATGAAATGCAGTTTGATGGCTGACGGTTCTTTACATTTAGTCTTTGCTGAAAATTGGCTCCAAAACAAATGTTGTGCTGACGCTACTTCAACATCTAATCAGCTCGAATGTTGTGTAGACTTCCGTCTTGGACTCTAGCAAGGAAAAATATGCGTACAAAGTATCTGATATCTAAATCTCGCTTGTTGAGATTTGAGCCTGTAAAAACCTGAGCTGGAGACCATAACTTATGCTGTTGTTCCTGTTGGTAAGGTGAAGAGTGTGAAAGGTACAGTACTGTGCAAAAATCTTAACCTGGACTTTGTCTGCTTTTTCACGTATTGTAAGTCCGGGCCTTGTACTTGACCTTTTTCTGATGATGTTTCTTTTTAAACCAACATTGAATTCTTTGAACAAAGGGTTTACTAGATATCATACTGCTGTATTACCCATCCATCTAGAAGCTTTAAAAAAAAAAAAATCAATACATTTTTTCTACAACAGAAAAGCAATGAACATTGTGCTTATTCTTTTGTAATGGAAATGAAAGTGAAAGAAGAGCCCATTCTCACTCCTGGGGCGTAGCATAGCGACGTTTTGTCACGTCCCGTGGCGTTCCAGCCGTAACCTTATCCCTAACCATAACCATAACCTTATTCCTAACATTAACCAGACGTTAAATGATGTAAAATAGTGTTTTCCAAAGCGATTTGAAGAAAATGAACGAACATGTGTAGATTGAGTCCAAACAGTTCTCATGTGTTCTCCTTTTTCCGATGTCGTCATTTAGGAACGTGTTGGGTACCCGAAAACGAAATATGTTGACGATTTGTCACCTAGCGTAAAATGTTACGCTTTGGGAGTGAGAACGTGTTGGAAAGAAAGATGGTGAGAGGTAAAGCATTCAAATGCAGCTTACTATCACTAAGAATGAATTGTGGAGTTGTTGACTCAAGTGTTAAATGGATAACAATATATCCATTAAGACAAGTGCAGGGTGCCCATAATTAAACAAGTCATCATCAGCTTTCTCTATTGTGTTAGCCAAGGAGAGCCACTTTGTTTAGATAATTATTAGCGAAGAGATAATTTGGCACTTGTGTTCGTGTAATGGTGGTCCGTTGACCCACACGGCTTTATCAGGCAAGCGCTGGATGACTAAACTGTCGAGTTAACGATTGGGCTGACTTTTTCTACGGAGCTGCCATATTGTGACCACAGAAAGTGATTTTTATAGTGCTTGTTCACTATTTGAATACCCCCCTTGTAGTTCCTGTGGCAGGTCCACCTACTCAGCCATGCTTTTTTTAATAAGTTGGTCTCCCACAGTGATTTAGCCACAGTGTCAGGCAGTAACTGAGTAAAATATTCATATCTGCTGCCCTTTCTCTGTGTACCCAGGTAGCGAGCTAGTGAGCATTTGAGATGCTTATTTGAGGAATTATGCAGCGAATGCTTCATTTATATATAATGTGGGTGGCGTTGCATGTCACAAACTTTGGTAGGCGGGGTTGCTAATCAGCTGAGAAACAGTCAAGCTGGGCTTCTTCTCACTGATTTGACAAAGGGGTCAGGCCCAAATGACCTATTACCTACTGATTATTTGGTTATAATGCATCAACTGCTGGCATTCATGTTGCAGATTAGTAGAGACATCGCACCCATGCCTTAACAGGCCTGAGCTGTAGTAAAACCCAAACCATGTCAAAACCTTTAGGTTTAAATGCTTTAGGTGATTATTGTAAATGCATTTTAATTAGACACTATTAGGGATCTGCCAAAAAGGATTCTTTGCATAATAATCAGACATCCAAGGGCTGATTCAAAATATGGTCTGTAATTCTGAACACGAGCTTCAGTTATTTTTAGGTCAATAGTGTCACTTTAGTGAAAACCATATAAAAGCAACTTCATATTCCAAAAAGACGTCTATAGTAATATGACTACTCGGTCTTGTAGTTTGATCAACTCAGCAAATATTTACTAGTTTTCCTCAGTTTCTCGGTCAAATGATAGCGATGGAGGCAGTTTCAGGCTTCACAGCGAAACTTTGCCTGCTAACGGTGACATCACCATGTGTGATGTCACTACATCCATCTTTTATGTACAGCTGGGGCCTCAAACTCTACTCCTCCCCCTTAAATTTACTTGAGTACAGTTAGGGGTTGCCACATAAGCATGCAGTCAGGTTCTATAGTCTTACTAATGACCTATTAATTTTATTCAGGTGTGTTGCAACAAGGACACATGGAAATGTTTAGGACACAGCCCTCGAGGACTGGAGTTTGAGACCTCTGGTGTACAGTATGTGGTCTCACGCAAGATTTAAAGCCAGCACACATAATATTATACCACACAGTATTTTTCTGCACTTCTTTTTATATTATTGAGGTACATACCAGCCCATGAGTTTTGTGTACCGCTGTTGAATTTTATTCAAACTAGATGTCATGCATTTCAAAGTAACAGCAGCAAAAAATGCAGAACTTCTTCTTTTTTTTTGGTAGTTGTTTTCTCCTTTTTGCCCTTTTTACATTTAAATGCAAAGTATCCACATGTTCTTTGCAGAGCAGTCATTGTAGTGCTAAAAAAAGAGCGAAGGGCTAAAAGCAAGATACCATCGCAAGGGTTGAACTGATGTCAATAAGGTGTTAATAAATGCGTAATTAAGTTTTTAAGTGTGCAAAGCTCACTTTGCGGTGGTAATTGTTAATGGACTGAATTGAGGAGCTTTAATAAAACAAGGGTGTGTTGTGCGATTTGTGAAATGATCCAGATATGATTGATGGGCTGGACTGTAAATGGTCGATTTACGGTGAAAGACGTATGTCCCGAATGCTGGGATTTGCATGATGAGATGGTGTCGGGATTTCAATGTCTGAGGCAGACGTTGGAGGATTGATGGATGTTTTGTATTGGAGACGTATGAGGCTGTGAAGCATTGTTGAGCTGTGAAAAATCTGGAGCGCACAACTCTCCACTGTGCAGCGAGTGATGTATCGAGAGCTGGCAAGACGCCCCTGGGAGTCGTTCATTGGGCAGTTCAGGCGACGTGACTCTACGCCTCACCTTTTTGACCTTTTAATGAACTGCAACCAAAGGACTCGCGAGTTTATGCCCTGCTCGGCTCAGGTGTAACCACTGCTTGTCATGTGACCTGTTTTTCCATTTTTATTTAAAGCTTGACAGATTTCAACCATCCGTTCTCCGGTTGGGCTGAAGCCTCGGCTCGCTCGTCACGCAGCCGTGTGCTCAGCATCAGCTAGACACCTGACCCACTTTTCTTTTATTCCAACATCTGGGGCCGTCTGCCTCGATTTGACGCCTCGCGCATGCCTTCGTTATTCATTACGGGGACGTGACACAATCTGTGACAGCTGCTCTTCATGAAGGCATCATGAGAGAAGAAATATAAACAGCAGCAGCATATGGTGCCTTAAATGATGTTACAGATGCTCTAAAAAGATAAATAATAAACAAACAGAGGGTTTATTTTTTTCTCTTTATCTTTATCTCTTTGCACACACATCTTATTTGACTGGGGGACTGAATTAGAAAGCCATAACAGAAGCTAAAAATTAGGCTTCTGCAGTTGTTCTGTGTATTTTTATTTTTTTTTTTAATTTTTTTTCATATTCTGTGCCAGGTTCTGGCAAACTGAGGCCCGGGAGGTGAGTTGTTAATGTTGTTGTTATCCCGGGAAATGTGCTTTATTTTTTCAGGGTGACCTCTTCTTTTGAACCTTTTGGAGCTTTTTGGGGGACGTTCTGTGGAAATGGCTGCATGCTGTTTTGTGTCTGTAGGGTAGAGGAGTCACAACGCACTCCTGCCGTGATTGAGTTTTGTTTTTTTTTTTCCTCTTTCTTTTTTGTACGTAGGACAAAACCCCAAAAGGCATGCAGCTTGATGGTGCAAAGGGAGGAGGAAGAGAAGATAGGTGATAACGGAAAGTTTAGAAGAAGGGCACATAAAAGGTAGATGAGCAGCAGGGGCGTGCATTTGATTTTTAATTATGCTTGAGGCATCAGCCAAACTCTTTGGTCCTGGGTTCCATAGCTTTGAACCATTCCTTGTTACTAGGATACCTGGTACCATATTTTGGAAGTTACTTCAAAGTTAATGCCATGGTGACGAGCCTGCAGAGTAATAATCTGCTGTGTCTGTGAAGCTGAGAAAATATTCATACTAAACCTACAAAATATTTGACTTTAATAACCAGGTTTGAATTTAGTAAAATAAAAGTGTCTCGAGAGCTGTCATGATCAGTAGGATGGTCCGTAACAAAGGATAAGACTGATGCTGATAAACTGTGACTTCATGTGACAGCTCACCTGTCTAGCGTGAAGGAAAGTAACCTTCACAGTCTTGTTTAATGTTAGCTCCTGAGTGATTTTGCCCTCGATGTCCTCGTTCATCAGAATGCATAAATGCACGGATCTTTCTAACTTTAGAAACTTTTGTATCCTGCTGCTCTGTAAAAGCTGTAATGTTGATTTGTTGGCATGTTGTCGAGCCTGTATGCTAAATGTTTCACTCTCTTTGCAGCAAGCTTGCCAATGTAAGGCTTAAGAAATGTTAATAGACAAAATGCTATAGATTAACTCAAAAATATAGAGGTGGTTGGCACAGTTTAAAAGTGATTTTTGGCATTAATTCAGATTATTTCATAAGAAAGGGTAAAATTGGGCATAATGAATACAAAGGCAACTGATGTAAGACAAAGTAGGAGACACTGTCCCTATTCCTGAAGACCTTGTGCATCGAAATCTTGCAAAACAAAAAAGTGTATATGTAAAATTACCATTGGATTTATTAAATGTGCACACTGGCCTAGGGGTGGGCAATATATCGTATCTACTAGATGTATTTGGGACTGCATGTAATTCATTGAGGGTTTTTTTTTTTTTGGTTTTTTTTTAAATCCCACATGTTGCGAAGGCATCACTACCTCCCCCCGCCTAATCGGAAAATGTTCTGCCTGCCACACGTGTTTACCAGATAAGGGGGGGGAAATGGCGACAACAGCCCTTTCAGACGAGCGAGGGAATGAGACTAACTGAAGAGGAGTCAGATGAGCTAGTTCCAAATAGAAACAGCACTGGATCAATAATCTGGCAGTGGTTTGGATTTCACAAGAAGAATGTTGAACAAAATGTAATAATTTTCAAGAAATGCCATAAAACTATTTTTGTTAAAGGTAAGAGTACCATGAATTTATTCTACCACCTGAAAAGTCATCCACTGCAAAATGAAGAATGCTTTAAACTCCGCTTTAAGCTCCTGCTTTAAACTTCCCACACACCAAAGAAAATGTCAAATGTTTTTATTTTGAATTATTCTATTTTGTCTCTTAAATTCTTACTTGGTGTACTTTTTGTTGCTTTAAACATTTTTTTGTTAAATGTCTAGTGTTGACCACACAAAGAGATGCACTGTGACAATATTGTAATTTGAGAAAACCCCTGTGTGCAGCTGATGGTTACAAAATGGTTAAAATAAAACATTTAAACTCATTTTGATTTATTTATTTTTTTTTAATTCAAAGTAGGAAAAAATATTGAATTTTGGATTTGAATGAGGATGCCAGTGCAGTTTTGGGCATTATATGGTTGAGAATAACATTTGTTTTTGGAGGTTATTTGAACATATCATGATATATATCGTGTATTGTGGAGAAAAAAAAATACACTGGCCTATTTTGCTCTTTAACCAACAGATTTCTATAATCTGCATACACTTTTCATACCATTTATACACTGATACAACCCCATTTCCAAGCAGAGAAAGTGGTGACAGTGTTGTAAGAAAGTAGTTTGGACATCAAAGTTGATTTTAAAAAAAGACTAATAGACAACAGCAGGTATTTTACTGCCCATGAAAACAGGAGAAAAAAATCGACAAGTCAACTAATCTCCACGAAATGGCTAAAATTGAGCTCAGCTACTAGATGAAAGATTGACTGTACAAATATTGTGTATTTTTCTGAGCCCTTTGAAACCATCAGTCACATTCTTTAATAATCAGATCAAGTTGCTAAAATGTGTTGCACTTTCTGCCGTAGGTGGCATTGCAAACACACTGTCCTAGATCAGTTTGCAGAGTGTGGCTAACGTTCTATTGCTCCACATAGACATTGTTCCAACTGAGTGTTTAAATATCAGTAAAAATCTGATTCCATCATTTTAGTACTGCAGATCCTTGCTGGTTCATGCTTCTGCTATGTTTATTTTCCAACTCGCTGTCAATTTCCTCTCACAGAAAGATGGAGGGGAGCTTGTTTCTGTTGGATATCCCTCTGTTAGTCGCCAATGGCATTATAAAAACTTAGAAGCAACAGTTTACTGGTGTAAAACATCCATTAAATATGAATATCTAGCTGACTAGTATTTAGCAATATTTAATCATCTAGTTGACTAGCGAGCTTTAAAACAAAAAGCAGCCATGTTTACATGGAAATGAGTAACCAGATCAAAAGCCTGACCAAAAAAAAAGCTTAATGTAAACACACTAGTTGGAAGATACTGACCTGATCACACTTGTTTGGAGCGAAATTTCTGTCTGATTAAGGCAGGTGGTTTATACAAATCATTAATTAGATTGGATGTAAAGACGCCTTTGTATGTTTGATGTGAAATTATTGTGGTTTTTCTGGGAATTTAGACATTTGTATTGTACAATCACACATGTAATTTTATTGTATTGTAACTATTTGATGTGTCTTCTGGGTCTAAAAGGTTAGGGCAATCCAGAAGAGCCATAAATCTGCTTTCTTTCTAATGACTAGCAGGTGCAGCCACTGCAAAAGGTTATTTTGGTTTACAGAAATCTTGGGGAAAAATGGTCCTTGGGCTCCACTGATCCCTGGCCTCAGTAAACGCCAAAGCAACGTGATGTTCACGTTTTTAAAGCGGGATATGCTTTGCCATGTTACAGACAGGCTGTCAGCCTACGAGTGTCTAGTGTCCTTGGTTTCTCAGTCAGATCTATCAAACATGTTCAGATTGATGCTTTACAGCTGGATTTGCCAAGTGATGTGTGATATTGGGATAAAATATTTCATGATTCAAAATTTCATGTTAAAATTTGTTTTCATTGGAGGTTTTTTATTTTATTTTTTATTTTTAAATCCACCATGTATGAGTGACTGAGCTTTGCGCCAGATGATGCCAGTCAGCCTTCCCTTCCATCCTTCATCATTAGTCCACTGCTCCACATTTTGAGTCAAGTCTTTCTATGCTGCAGCTATTTAACGGTAATAAAGATGTACTGTCTTTGGATTCCCCAGTGCTCACTCTGTTCAGCTCTGCCAGCGAACCTGTCCTCGTAGCCAGATTTATATGCTTGGCAGCCATTCCTCGGATCATTGTTGGACATAAAACAAGCCATGGGTGGAGGGTTGGAGGTGGAGAGGATGTTCAAATGAATAACTTTTATTTCTTTTCTTTCATTTTCACCCAGAAAGGAGTCATTCCTGAGATTAGATGTCACACATGTGATTGGTTTTGGTATTAATAGACTAGTCTGTCATATATGCTGATATTATGTACTGCTTTTTATGCAGTCCACAACAGGAAGGGAACATTTATGAGAATTTCACACATGCTCTCCAGAAGACGACTAGCAAAGCAGTGAAAACCAGGGAGTCTGCAGCAGCATTCCTACACCGTCTTTTACTCCATCTCGCAAAAATCATCTACCTGGCCTCTAATGTGTCTTTACTGCTGCCAGGAAGCACTACAGTGACTTTAATCCCTCTTTTCCTTTTTTTCCCTCTACCTGTTTTTAAGTCTGAGTCAGCGCTCAAACAGAATGACAAACTGGGCCCAGCCGCCTTCCCTTCTGCTGCATTAGACGTCTCAGTGGCTGTGGATCACGATGGTGGGTGGCGAGGCTTTGCCCAGCACCTTGCCGATGGGGAGGTTGATGGTTGCATGTGGAGCAGCATGAAATGACCCTTTTGATGCACACACTTTATAATAATAATAATGGATTAGATTTATATAGTGCTTTTCAAGGCACCCAAAGCGCTTTACAATGCCACTATGCCACTTTAAACACACACAAACATAGAGCTTAGTGTGGCTGTGGGTCAAGATGTTATAGTTTTCTTGTTTTATACATTTAAATATGCAGGTTTTAGTTGATTAAAAGCAAAATCCTGAAGCGTTGTTTTGATTCAAAGATTTTTGCAGATGTGTACAGAATACGTTCATTTTTATGAACATGTTAAGATCGCAATCAATTAAATAGACAAGTATGCATTTTTGGAAGTCTTTAACGTTGACTGCTTAAGGTGGTAGAAAAGGTCCTTTTAAGGGTTTTGGTGGCTATTGTAGGGCTGTGCGATATGACAAAAATCCCATATACCAATATAAGACATATACATAGCCCCTCCTTTAGGAATAAGGTCCTCGATTTGTTTTGACTGGTCTTTCTGTCTCAACAGGGTCTCAACAGGATCTTCAGCTTTATTGTGAAAGGTTTATGTGGAAAATAAATAAGCGGAGGCGGAGCCACACACTGGGTTTAACTTCATTGTTGCTAACGACAAAGCGTAAAAACAGCCGTTTGTCCGTCCGTAGTGTAGTTATTTTAAATATAAGAGAAAGGGGGAACTTTAAGAAATTAACATAGCTACTACAGTGACCGTCAAAGCGATGAAAAAATATAGCTGTAAACAGTTTATTTTGCGACACCATGAAAGAAACAAACGGTCAACGTCTTTATATCGTCATCCGATATATATATCGTTATATCGAACAGCTCTGGGCAATTGGTAAAAAAAAGAAAGAAAGTTGTTGTTGTTTTTTTAACATATGAATGCTATGCTTGTAGGTTTTGCATGTTATTTTTTTCTCAAAGATGATTTTCTGTTTTGTAAATCTATACACTCACCAACCACCTCATTAGGTGCATCTCGCTAGTACCTTGTTGGACTTCCCTTTTGCCTTGAGTGCTGCCTTAAATCTTCACAGGATAGATTGAACAAGTTGCTGGAAACGTTCCTTGGAGGTTTTGATACATGATAGCGTCACACAGTCACGCACGATGAAGCTCTCCCATTGCACCACATTCCAAAGCTGCTCTATTGGATTGAGATCTGGTAACTGTGGAGGCCATTTGAGAACAGTGAACTCATTGTCATGTTCAAGAAACCAGTTTAAGATGATCTGCTCACAAATCACTGATTAAGTTATCTATGTTGGTGTTATTTTGAGCTTAATAAGGACACATCAGCTGGAAGTGGTATATTATTTATTTAGGTTCCCATCAAGGAAAAACTCTGCCAGCGTGAAACGACTTAATCAAAGGCTCGTTAATGAATTTCCCTGAATCTTTCTAAAGGTCATGCTGGTGATCTGCAGCTGTGTGTGGCTCACAGCAGGTTTGAAAGACAGGATGACAAGTCATTTAAAGAGCAGGAAAGAGTGGCTAAACATGATTGACCAGCTGCTTTGAAGGCAGTGGATCTATATTGTGGTCTTTTTTTGTGTACAGCTTTTAAACATTCAGACAGTGTTGCTCTTGCTGCTGTGAGAGATGCGTATCATTTGCGCTTTCTCGGAAACATCATGGTTTATTTGCTGCAAGTCTTTGATGAGCTGTAATAAATGTTTTATTTATTTTTAACAGACAAATTGAACATTGTGTTTGAAGCGCACTTCAAATCCAGATCAAATCCAACTGGAGCCCATCAGTGGCTTTTAGGTAAAAAGGAAAAAAGTACTCCTACTATGCATATATTATTTTAAAAGCCTGTTGTATTGGAAGTAAACCAAATAATGAAAGCAGGCATGTCAAACGCATCAGGTGTCTCTTCTCTTTCGGCTCCAAACCCTCATTTGTCTTTGCCTTAATGGGACAGCCGATTGTTTTCCTCCTTGTGAGCATGTTTCCACACAATTTGAATTAATTGGATTGTAAATTGATCCTACTTTGGAGCCAAAACCCTGGAAGCCGTAGCTTTGGCTGCGTACAACGGTTTAATCTGAATACTAAATGTTATTAAAAGCCTCCCCTGCTTCGCCCGTGTAGGACAGTGTGTACCTGGTAATGAGAAAAAAGCCCAGAGGGCTTATTGCATTCATTGTGCAACAGCATGGTATAATTCAGTAATTGATTGCCTTAGTGCCTGCATGTTGCCGTAATGTTTTCAAGATAAACACTATGACGTAGTTCCCATTAAATGGCTCTTTTGGCTCATGCTAACTTTGCATTTACCACCTCTGCTTGGAAGTATCCCCAGACGGTGACCTCTTATGCAGGCAGCAAAATGGCCATCCCAGGCAGCTAATATATGTATTTACTTTGGATCTGTCAGAATGGCAAATATACACAAGGAATCATGTAAAAACCAGCTTTCTAGAAAGATAGTTTTTGGAACCTTTTTGTGACAACCAATTCAGAGGCATGTGGTACCTTTTACAGAAAGGCAATGAGAGCTAAGAAACACATAACTTTATTTAAAAAGAAAAAAAACAACAACCATGTTAAGTTAAACTTTGTACATTTTGGCCAACCAAGTGGTTTCACAGCTGCTAATCAAACAATTATAACAAGTTATTAAGTTGGTTACGTCATACAAGTTGGCCGAGGTGGTCAGTGAGAGAATGCTCATTTGTTACAACGATAAATGAAAGCAGTTGTTTACTTGCCAATGCTAGCTTTGTTTCACACAAAGCACAGAAGGTAACTGATCTGAGAGCAGTGAAAGCAGAGCCAGCAGTGGCTTAGCTAGCATGCTAATCTCCGACAGTCTCCCGTCACAGACCAGAGGTTTATCCACACTTCACATGTGCAATCAAGCTTTTATTAATAGGAGATTGAGACAGACAAGTCCATGAGATTTTAGTAGTTCTGTAATCAAGTTTGCTTCCAGAGACAATATCCAACTGCAATCACAAGATGGCAGAGATCTAAAGGATAGATGCGATGAGGGATGAGAGAAGCTTTATGACAGAATACTGTTTGAGATGAAAGAAGATTTCTTTCACTTAATTTAGGCCTATTTATTTAGAGTCCACTGCACAAGCACTTCCTGCCTTGCTTGCTCTGATAGAATGTCAACGTTCAAATCTTTATAACACAGGTGGAGTTTGCAAAGTTAGCATAATCAGTGAAGTTATAATCGCACAATATTAAAAAATCTCGGTTGAAATAAAGTTGCAATATACTTAAAACAGAGAATTTGGTGCTTTACTTTCTTTCTTTTTATTGGTTAAATCAGCATTGTGTAAAACAGACTGTAATATATGGATGTCCACATCTCTACACCACACATCAGTTAAACATGTTTTGCAGTTTCAATGCTGCCATGTACATATCTCCTAGTTAGCTAAGCAACAGATGCATAAAATACTAGAACTGCAGCCAAAAACGGCCTCCAGTGGAATCACAGATAGTATAAAAAGAGGGATGTTACCACTTCTTGATGAGAGGTGATTAGATAAGGAGTATATCCTGGTGACTGACACCATGGACTTGACTGACCGAGGGGTTGAGGACCATTTTCTCACAAACATCTATAGGGCCGAAGTCCTTTTACAACCACAGTTATTGGCCCCTGGTAGCTTCACTTTAAAGACCTTTATACTATCTGTGGTCGGGAGACTAGTCATTGAAAGCAGCCAAGCAACAACTCCAGTATTGAAATGGATAAGCTATTAAAAACAAACCAAAAAACAACAACTCTATAGAGTTGTCCTAAAAAGAGAAGATAAAATAAGAGAGATTTATAGTGTTTTTCACTGTATCAATCTCTGTATTTACGACGATGTTTGTGCAAGTTTTCCCATGAATTAAGGAGGACATAAGGTACAGACACACAAATATTCATACATACATATACTACAATGATGATTATGATATGACTATATGGAAGTAGAATAACTTGTCTACTAATCAGAAGGTTATTTGTTCGATCTCCCTCCAGTCTCCATGCCAATAATTCTTGGGCAAGAAATCAACCCCAAGCTGAATGTTTGTAAATGTTAGATAAAAAGAACTTAAACATAGAAAAAAAGTGCTTGGATGAATGGATGAATGTGGCATGTTGTACAAAGTTCTTTGAGTGCTCAGGTAGAGTCGAAAAGCGCTACATAACAACATGTCCACTTAACCATTATAGTAGGATGTACTGTTTTTAAAGCTAGGCAGTCACCTGAGACTATTATGAAGGTGCCACATGTTTTATATTAACATCCCTTAAAGACCTTATTATCCTTGGTGAGCAGGTTTTTCCTGTGTACACTATACATGTACTTATTAATATTCTGCTCCCAGTAGTAAGAGCTCAGTGTGATGTTTGCATTATATGAGGAGCTCATTGACCTTAATTTGCATGCATCCTTTGATTGATGGTATTTACCTGCCTTTTTATGAATGGCCTTTTTATAGCTGGTGCTCTCCATGAGAACATGGATGAAGTGTGGACTGAAAGATGAACGATTTCCCCCCCCCTCCTTTCTGTCTTGCACTTTTCTTAAGATCACATTTAGCTGTATTTATAAAAAAAAAAAAAAAAAAAAAAAAAACAATGAGAAAAAGGACTTAAATGTGTCTGGTCTGCTTTAGCTCATTTTCCATTCCCTCTAAACCTTGTGTTTGTTCACTTTTGAAAGCTCTCTTTCCAAGAGAGTGAAGTTCTTCTATCAAAAACACATTTCATTTCATTTTAAACCCCTCCCCTCACAGACACACACGTGGCATCTTATTTTGCTCCACCGGTGGCAGAATTTTAATTCTCTCCTTGCAAAACCTCTTCGCCTATTGTGCTTCACTATTCAGAGTACAGCGCTGCTTCTTCTCATCTCGCCAGCTCTGCTTACACAGCCAAAGCTCGAAGGAGCGAAAGACGCTCCCCACAATGTAGATGACAGGATAAAGGGAGAAGGAGACGGAGAATGAATGAGGAAGGGGAGCGAAAAGAATGGAGAGAGTGATAGAACGCGAAGCGAAAAGGCCAGGGAGGGAGGAGAAGCCATGTCTCCTTTGTCTTGACATTTCTCTGCGTCTCTCCTCTGGGAATGAACACCTCGATATAAATGTTCCACACATAAGCTTGAGTGGGATAGGAGGAAGAGGAGGAGGGCTTGTTTGATGTGCATTAGTTATTACAGAGTCTGCGTATAATTTGGTTTGGGGTTGATGTAATTAAAGGGTTCGGGCCTCAGCAGTTTTCCTCAGACTAATTTGTTTAGGAAGTGCTGATTCCCCCACCGGCCGCCGGTGACGATAGAGTGACTCTGCTGCAGCTGTTGCTGGTGGTCATGGCAACAGGAGGGCCCACAGGTGTCCATATTGATATCTCTGTCGAGCTAGCTGCTTCCTCAGCGGGACTGCATTCACATTCAGCACTTTGCAGCTGGTGCTGTTAATCCACACAGTGGCTGGAAAGGACATCCACCTGCTAAATTCTCTAAGAGATGAGGTGGTATTTGGAGGGCGGTACTCATTTACACCTGGGAAAAGGTTATATCCCACTAATAAAATTATATTAACTGCTTATAAAAACTAAAAAGAAATCATGCTAATTAGTGAGCCTTAAGCCAGCACTCTTGTCTGAATTGCTTTCCAGACGGTTAGCCGTGTACCTCCTGAACAAGCAGCAGCAATTAGACCTGAACCTACCAGAAATTTCAGTTCCTCTAGTGGCCACCTGAGGCTGGCCCCAAAAGTGAGTGAATCCCCAGAGACTCCCAGGTTAAAATTTGGACATTTAGACAAAGCATGTTACAAAAAACTGTTTTTCGATAGTTTCCCTTTTCATGATCACTCTGATCTTGATGCTGGAGGTAGGGACGTGGTGTATTTGACTGACTGGTATCTGCCAGCTCACTAATCTGTGGACCTCTTTTAATGGATTGACTGATTTTGTGGTTGGTTTGTGTGATACACACCATCCTAAATGTTTGTGCTTCAGTTTTGATGTGTGAAATTCTCATATTTTATTGGTCTGTTACTTAGCAGTAATTTGCAGGTTTCCCTGTCTGTTCTTTGTACCTGTGCAATTCATAGTAATTTACCTTCTCACACAAAGGGTGACAGCCTGGTGGCTATGTTGTCTTTTATATACAGTTTATGCTCCTGAAGCAGATTATATAAAAAATGACACTAAGATGAATTTTTTTGTTTCTTTGTTTTTCAGACAAAATAAACACAGGACTCTGACGACGCTGGTGAGTGAAGTTTATTTAAGTAGAATTAGATTTGTGCCCTTGTGTTTTTAACTTTTAGTAATTGTTAATGAACATTTTGCATTTCAGATGTGAACTTATGATGTGTGAAATGCAGCATGCTAAAAAAAATTTGAGAAACAGGGATGATTTCTGCTTATTTCATAGTAACCTTTAGGTTCTATTAATTTCACTGGACTACTTTTTATATTAAAAAGTATTTTATTTTATTCCCAATTCTTTCATTGACTTTCAGTGATGGTTCCCATTAGTTTTACAAGTGTACCTTTGGTTTTCATTATTATCTTTTTCTTGATGCATGCTCAATCATCCAGGTAAGTAAATCCTAAAACGTTGATTTTGTTCATTGGGGCGTTTTCAGTGGAAGAAACGTTTTGTCGCTCATCCAAGTGACTTCTTCAGTTTCAGCTGACTGCAGGTTTCCCCAAGCTTATAAACAGTACATTTGCAGAATGACTGAAACCAGCCCAATTAAAGAACAAAGGGCTGTGAGGTCAGTTTTTTTGATCATTAATATGGAAATTGTCCACTCAATTAATCACTGGCCATGAGGACCATTCACAGAGAGTTGGGGAATTGTGATGGCGATACTCAAAATAAACAAATAATAAATAAAATAAAAACGTTTATTCACTGCGAAAAAGAATTAAAAAAAAAATCTCAATTTTGGTTTCATTATAACACTTTAAGTTTAATAAACAGGCAAGTTGCACTGAGATGATGCAACGCTTGCAGAGCACATGGACATTGCATAGACTTGTCTGAATAACAAGTGCTGAATTTTGTAATATAATCTGCCATGCTGCAAGCATGACACACCCACAGAGTAAAGGCAGGAGGGCCACCCCAAAGTAGATTTCCAAAGAGTCTGAGGGAGGGAGATTTGAAGAAACAGGAGACAGGAAAACTGCTCGTTTCTGACAGAAGATGAGATGAGCTGCACAAAGAGCTAAAAGTTCACTTTTAAAAAGAGTTCTTATCCAATATTGTGTCAATATGTTATGTACAAACTGCATGCTGGTACCTGATATGATTGCAAAAATGACTGATTGCACAAAAAGCTAATTTGCCTTTTTGTGTTGTTTTTCTGTGGAAAAATCTAGCTAATCAGCCTTAATCACAAAATGAGGCTGATGAGATGTGTCATTCATTTTTTGTTAACTACAACAACATGGGTTCCCTCCAAATAAAAATCTGGCACGTGTTACAGTACAAACACATTCTTGCTTGCAGGAAAGGATGAGTTGGATTTGAGAAGTTGTGAGTGCTGGCAGGGTTTTGGGTTTGTGCGAGCATCACGCTTGTGGTTTTCTTTGATTTAAAGCCTCACAGTCTGGCGGGGACAGCTAAAGTAAGCGTGCTGTGTTCACGTGCACTTGATGTCACCTTGCAGGATTTCTCTGGGCATTAAAGTTGACTCATACTGGAGTCTGGAGCTGCGGGCATGTGAAGTTCAGCTACAGAGATCATGATGAGTCTCAATTCAGCCTGAAATGAAAGTGCAACTTTTTGAGACGTGAACTCAGTTTCTCTGTGAAAGCATCTTCATACTCATGCAACTACATGATTCTTACTAGACACTGGTTATATCTTAAAATTGCTGCCATTATTTCTTATAATTTTACCATTTTGCAGTAATAAGTTCTTCAGTTCTGCTATGGCAGACTGCAGCTTTTGGGATTGGTTTTCTCTGCGAGGTATTTGATGAAAGCAAAGCTTTGCCTACATCTCGAGGCCTAAACTCGGCAGGTTGAGAACCGATCCTGCTGCTCTGCTTCCTGCCGATGATAATCTGTCCACTCCTCGGGTGGCCTGAATGAAAGCAGGAGCCGGCTGACAGATCAAACAAACCACCTCCTTGCTTTCCTGCTTGATTTTCTGGGAAAATAAATGGTTTTCAGCTTTGCTGACAAAGAAAATCACAGGTGGAAAACAGTTGCTAACTATGTGCAGGTGGAGTTTTCATTTTGTGAGCTGCAGGTCTGATAATCACTGAATCTGTAAGTGGTACTGATAAATTCTCAAGTCCACTCAGGAAATATTTAGATGGACTTGCTGTTTTTGAAATCCTGGAGGCATCCACGGATGTCCTTACGTGGCCTCCCCTGATTGTGTTTACTTCGTGCTGGACCAGGCAGGTGTTTCATGTATAAATTATGCCCATTAGCTCTAACTAAATCGAACACTGGAAGCAAAGAATAAAAGATGTTTCCAGCCTTCTCTAATTCAAATGGCTTTGTAGATTTACTCTGTTCAGTCATGCATTTAGTGAATCTCCTCTCAGTGCAGAGAAAGCTGGCTCACCCGTAATAATCTTTTGTTGGCCAACTGTGTTTTTAAGGCCACCAAGCTGCTAACCATGAGTGCACCATTAGTACTCATGGTTAATTCTCTTTTAATGCCATCTGGAGCAACCAGTTACACAGATTTCAGCTCATTCAGTTTGAGTTTCACAATTAAAGTATGGGAACACCAGGTGATAGAAAAACATCATTAATAATCCACAAGGATCCACTCCAGGAGAGTGGGGTTTAACTCCCAATGCTTATGCTTTCGTCTAATTTGTTGTTAGATTATTTTTGTGGTAAAGTGGACTTTGTTACAACGTTAATCACATTAATAGCTCTATTTTCCGAGATACCAGCTGACAAGTCCAAACTCATGGAATATACTGCGTGCCTGCAACCCTGAAAAGAAATGCAGTGTTTCCCGCACAAAGAGTTTTTCAAATTTAAATGTAACAATAATAAATTGTGATAATCCTAAAAACCAACTACACCCCACGATTCAACAGCTGTTAGAACTACCTTCAACAGCTCTCTTAAGATCTTGTCACATCATTTAAACCAGCTTAATATTTGGCTTTGACGGGGTCATTGCAACACCTCAATTCTTGGTTGACTCAGTCACTGCAAAGTGTCCGGGTCCTGTGGCTGCAAAACGGGCCCAAATCATCACCCCTCAGCCACAGCGCTGACAGTTGGTGTGCAGTGTTTCAACTGACAGGATGTGGTTGGTGATGCTGTCCACTATCACCCAGCATCTTCACTCTGGTCTTGCCTGTCCAAAGGACATTGTTGAAGAAGTCTTTCTTTCTTACATGACTGTATTTTTGGCTGTGTGAAAAGAAATGCAGTGTTTCCTACACAGATTTTACATGGTATGACTCCACAGGTATATTTGGTGATGCATTTTCTTAGGAATTTTTTTTATTTTTCCAAATTTTGATAACATGTTCCACAGTAGAGTTAAAAAGTTTAGTCGCTGCGAAACCAGCAAGCCTTTGCTGTTCGTCTATTTTGCTACTGTAAGGAGGACACACTGGAGATGCCATCAGCTGGCTCTCCAGTGAGTCTCGTGTCACATGGCTTGAGCCTTCACGGCCTGCTGCAACATGGTTGAAGTTTCAAATAATGAGGTAAGCCTATGTAGATGTAATCCCTAAAGCTTTGGCTTCACACAATTTTTTATTTTATTTTTTACATTTTTTATATGATGTCAAGGACGGAATAGGATTTCTTTGGACTGTAAAGCATGCAAAGCTACTCTAGAGTCCAAGACGAATTTAAAATGAGCATAATAGGCCCCCATTTAAAACTTTTTTTTATGAATATAATTGTGTTGATGTAGCTTCTTCACTCCAATCCTCTAATTGAACTGCATTAAAATGGCTTCACATATCTCTGTCCATGTATTGACACTTAAATGCTCTTTAATATTAAAGCACTGTAGCTTACAGTATAACATGTATGCTATGTTATATCATACTGCCATAAAAGTTGCTTTCAGATCATTTTTGTAGTGGAGTTCATATGAAGGGAATACGAAAGAATTCATGAGACTTTGTGCTTAACTGTGTGCGTGACAGCAAGTTAACATGGCTACGAATATGAGCTCCAGAAATATATATGACCCATATTCATGTCTTGTGGGACTGTCTTCACTCAGTTCATCCTCCGGTGATGTTTTCAAGCTTGATGTAGGTCTTTCTTGCCGGCGTCTCATATCTCATTCGTGCTCGTTGTACTCTCTCTCTTTTTTTTTTTTTTTTTATCCCCCCCCCACATGCTGTCAGTGTGTCCCTTGGCCTGTTGATTGAAACATGCCCGCAGTCTGTCTGACGACATTCGATGCCAAGTGGCTGATTTATTTGCTCTGTAACACACCGATCCTCCTGCTGTGAAACCCCCCTCCACTCTGCTTCCATTTGAGGAATCTTGGAGTGGATGTGGTGCAGTTTTCCTGTAAAACAGTTTTCCTCCTTCTCACTTCTGGCTGCTGAGCTGTCACTTGCTGAGATGACATTGTGCTCTTCATTGACTGCACCTTTGTGTGTTTGTCTGGTCCTTTGCAACGGTCTCATCGGATGTCATGGCCATTGATTAACTCGACAGGCCTCGTCAGAGCTTGTTATCCCGTCCATTTTCTTGCCAACTGCTCGAGTCATTAACATTTAGGTTACTGCGCAGAATGCCTCAGCAGGTGTTAATGTAGCTCATTTTCCTCACCAGCGTCCATCCACACCTGTGCTGCTGTCCGAGAACAGCGTGTGCTGTGCAAGTGTGATAAAGAAAAGCAGCACATCACAAACACTCTGAAGTCTGTGCATCTTACAAAGGACGAAATTAATGATTGAGTCACTTTCTGATGCTTTGTTAATCAGCTGATTGCATTTGGGTCGCAAATCCTCTTCAGTCAACTCTTAAAATAAACTAAATGACCAGCTGAAATCTGTCCATCCGTATGTCCATCCATCCATCCATCCATCCATCCATCCATCCATCCACTCATCCTCCCACTCACCCATCCATCCATCCACTCACTCATCCATCCATCCACTCACTCATCCTCCCACTCACCCATCTACCCACTCACCCACCCATCCACCAATCCATCCATTCATCCACTCAATCATCCATCTATCCGTCCGTCCATCCATCCATCCATCCATCCACTCAATCATCCATCTATTCGTCCGTCCG